GCACGTTTGATTGGTGGCACAACAATCATTAATTTCTGCCTTTCTACATGCAGTGTCCTTGACACATACAAGAAAAGGGATGTGCAGGTGAGGCCGAAGACTTACTATCGCTTCATAGAGAGGGCAGCGGAGGAACTGGACGAAGAGGTTGAATATGACATGGATGAGGAGGTACAAACTTCCTTCCTGTCCTTCTCCTTCCCACTTCCTCTCCCTGTTCTTCTCCTTCCCACTTCCTCTCCCTCTCCTTCCTTTCCCCTTTCCAACCCCTCTTCCCTTCCACACCCCTTCCCCTCTCCCTATCTCTTCCAACAGTATACCAAAAACCATTGGAATTGTGGAAATTTGATGCATTCCAAACATTTTTTTCTACTCAAACTCACCATTTATTCATAAAATCAAGTTCTTTGTAACTATTTTAAAACCTTATAAATTGTGAAGTTAATGTTGTCATAACATAAATGACTCCTTGTGTGTAAAATGTGAATTAAGCTGGGTTTACACTACCGACTTTATGTTGGCGAATTGGCGAGTTGGACCAATTTCGCAATTCGGCAACTCCAAGTTGGCGAAAATAGAACCTGTTCCAACCTCCAAACTAGCTGCTATCGATCGGTTGGTCGCGCAACTTGCGTTACACTACCGATTGTCGGTTGTATAGTTGGGAAGTTGGTCCAACTCGCCAATTCGCCAACGCAAAGTCGGTAGTGTAAACCCAGCTTAAAGTCGGTAGTGTTAACCCAGCTTTAAGTCGGTAGCAAGTGTAAACCCAGCTTAAAGTCGGTAGTGTAAACCCAGCTTTGGTAAAACGACGCGAGCAGCGTCAGATGACGGATTGTGTCCTCCCGTTACAGGACTATGCCTGGCTGCAGCTCATGAACGCTGAGCGGGAGGAGCAGATAGAGGAAGTTGTCCCACAGGATGTCTTCGAGTATCTCATGGATCGTCTGGAGAAGGAGAGCTTCTTTCAGGTATACTCACTCAACCGCAATGGCTCCTGCTTCCTTGAGGCCACAATTAAAAAAATCTTTGTTTGCCCTCACCCGACCCAGGCTGAAAAGTTTGGGAAGGTAGGTTGGCTTTGTTTGTTTTTTTGAGGGGGGTCTTTTTACA